TTTTATTTTTATTTACTTATTTTTATTTCAGGGATATATTACTGACTCACCAAAATCTGGAGTTTGGGTGTGATTTCGGCTTACTGCAACCTCCACCTCCCTGGTTCAAGTGATTTTCCTGCCTCAGCCTCCTGAGTAGTGGGGATTACAGTCATGTACCACCATGCCCAGCTAATTTTGTATTTTTAGCAGAGATGAGGTTTCACCATGTTGGTCAGGCTGGTCTCAAACTCCTGACTTCAAGTGATCCACTAGCCTTGGCCTTCCAAAGTACTGGGATACAGGTATAAGCCATCATAGCTGGCCCTTGTTTTCATAAGGAAACCAAAGGAAAACAAATTGCCAACAGTTGGCTGTATAAATCAGTCCAGAAAGCAAATATGTGTTTTAAGCATCATTCTCTGCCCAGGACCATGCCAAGCACTGTTAACAACAATAATATTTTTTAAAAATGGAAGAAATAAATTTATAATTCAATAAGAATTATTTGTTAAAATAAAATTATTTTGCTAAAATTATTTGTAAAGACTTTAAATAAAGCCTAACAGCTAACTATATATAATTTCATGAAAGAATTTTTAACACAGAAAAATAGAAAGCAAATAATCTTCAAATTTTAAGATATTAAAAAAGTCAGGATTTTGACATTCTATTTTTCTTACAATCTAATTATATTCATGACTTGTTATAAGTGGTAGGCTATATTGCCTAGAGTTATGACTGGATTTGTGTACATAAACAATAATTCCATAGAACTCACAACTCTTGGCACATAAACTATAGTTCAACACACAAACTCAAATTGTTGATTTGATGGTTATAAGATTAAACAAATAAGTATAAAAAGACTTAACATCAGTGGTTTTCAGTTTTTGATTTTCCTTAGAAGATAAACATTTTTAAGAATAAAAATAATTGAGCTTGATATAAAGTAAGCTACTCTTTTTCCCAAGTAAAATGTTTTGAAACAGTGCACATAAACTGTGATCCATTTTCAACTTTGTTTCCCCAAAGAATGGGCATTTCACAATGGGGGAAAGCCATATTTCACAAATTATTCATTGTGAACATCTCACCATATATTATATATTTGTCTTTTTTTTTTCCACTGATCAGTGAAAACTTTATAATAGCCCTGCCCTTGGGAACTACTGCAATACACTAGTGATTCTCAATGGGGTGTAGAGATGGGTTAGAAACTCTGAGGGTCCTTTGTAGTTTGAAAAAGCATGCTCAATTTTAGTAATGCAAACTCCCGCTTAAAAAGCACAAAACAACTGGCAAAAACACAGGAAAAAACAAAGGGAAAGCATTGCAGAGTATGTGTGGGTTGGGAAGGGTTCTGAAACACTGTCTTATACCCAAAGAAGTTACACATTATGCACATTAGTATAAAATTACAGAGTTTTAAAAGAACTCTGAGATCTTGTAATCCCAACATATCGTTTTACAAATGAATAAGTTGAGAAGTACATTTAAATAATTTCATTCCAAAAACTGATGAAAGCAGAACTGAATTATTTAATCTCAGCCAGAAAGTACTGTGATAGTAAATTTTATGTGTCAACTCGACTGGGCCATTTGGTGCTGAGATATTTGGTTACATATTCTGGCTGTGTCTATGATGGTTTTTGTGGATGAAATTAATACACGAATTGGTAGATGAAGTAAGGCAGAATGTGCTCCCCATTGCGGGTGGGCAACATCCAATCTGGTGAAGGCCTGAATAGATAAGAAGGCTGAGTAAAAAACAGTTATTCTTCTCTGCCTGATTGTCTTTGAGCTGGGTTATAAGTTTCATCCTGCCTTTGGATTTGGACTCACACTGGAATTTGCATTATTGACCCTCCTGGCTCTTAGCCTTGAGCTCGGTCTCCAGCTACACCATAGGCTTTCTTGCATCTGGACTTCTCAGTCTCATGATCACATGTATCAGTTCCTTATAATTTCTCTCTCTCTTTTTTCTCTTTCTCTCTCTCTCCACACACACACATACACCCTATTGGCTCTGTTTCTCTCTAGAACCCTGACTAATGTAAGTATTGACCTCAACAGAGACATGGCTGTCTTGAACAAAAATCTCTGCTGAATTCAACATGTAGTTCTATAGTACATGAAGTAATAATTGTACCCAGGTAGTTAATATGGTTTGACTGTGTTCCTACACAAATTTCATCTTGAATTATAGCTCTTATAATCCTAATCCCCACGTGTCATGGGAAGGAACTTGTGGGAGGTAATTGAATCATGGTGGTGGATGTTTTCCATGCTGCTCTCATGACAGTGAATAAGTCTCATGAGATCTGATGATTTATAAAGGACAGTTTCCCTGCACATTCGCTCTCTTGCCTGCTGCTGTGTTTCATATGCCTTTGCTCCTCCTTCACCTTCTGCCATGATTATGAGGCCTTCCCACCCATGTGGAATTGTGAGTCTATTAAAACTCTTTTTATTTATAAATTACCCAGTCTCAGGTATTTCTTCATAGCACCATGAAAATGGACTAATACAAGAGTGTGTGCTCCAACTTGCATCTCAAGACTGGCAATACATAAAAGCACAAAAATAGTAGGTTTACTTATGAGAAGTAATACTTATTGAATTTAGAATTCATATAGATTTCAGGTCATCCCTCACCATCTGCATTTGTTTTTAAAGATAGCAGTCATGCCCTCCTCACTCTCTGCTGTATTGATAGAAAAAGGACACTGAGCAGGGAGGATTAGAGTATGAACAAAAGAGAGAAAATGAAGCTGAGTTTGAAGTCTACATGATCTAGGCAGTCCATAGCATTATAGTGTCACATTTCCACTGTGTTGAGTCTTCTAAATCTTATTTCTTGTCCCCCCTCCAGCCATTTCCAGGTACAATCACATTGTCTCCCTTTTTTGCAGGAAGTAGGGAAATGACATATCATGTTTATAACAGCAGTGCACTCAGTCAATACAGGATGCACTGGAAATCCTTCTTGAATGTCAGAGGAGTATATACATCATGTAGAATGTTTCCCTGAAATGGGTTATTAGAACCACTATTGTTTTCATTCGTTCGTGCCATTTACTATAGAGAGTAGATATTCAATTCACTGAAGTTGGTTTGGATTTCCACACAAAGGTTGAAACAATTTTTACAGTATATTGGATACTTAAATGTCATAACTTATTTCATTTCAGATTTAATTCATAGTAGCAGGTAACAGCAGCTTCATTTATTGATAACTTAAAATGTTTCCTGCAGCATGCCAAATATTTTATGTACATCACACTCTATAGTTCTGATATTAGTGAAATGGAGATGTTAAAAGAAAGTTGTTCAATTTTTCACTAAGAGGACACATTCAAATCACACCAAAGCCCATGCTGCTTAATATTAATGACCAAATATGGTCTGAAAAATTTAGTGAATTGATAAAAAGATAAATAATACATTAGATATGTTAGACAGCAAATACAGACTTTTAATATTTTAGAAATCATGAAATAAATAGCACCCTGAAAATATGTAAGAATTATTGATAAAAACTGACTTAACTTTTGAACTCACACACAAATGTCTGGGTATCTAATTCACTTAATCAGCGGAAACAAAAATCTCATAGTATATTTAACCCTCAATCTCTTCTTTGGGGAGGAGGACATAAATCATGTCTTTCACCAAATTAAGGAAACCATTAAGACCGTATGCCAGGACTGGTATCTCTGGTTAATTCATATGTATTTTGGCCAGGCAGCTGTGAATAGGGGTGTTTCAAATATTATTTTCTGTTCCTTATTTGTTTTGCTCCACAAAAGCACAGTCAGATCATATGGTAATAAGGCTCATTAATTTGCACTGTGTGCCTGAAACACTGTTTAGGCAAGGAGCAAGTTCTGAACTGTGAAAGCCATTGTCCATCTGCTGCTGACTACATGGAGTATTTTAAAGAGTTTTAAAATGCTTCAGACATGAAAATCACAAGATTTTGAGGATTGTATGATTTGAGGGTTGTGAGAATTGTTCACATATTCTCAACACATTTAAGAGGTTGCAGTATGTTAAGAAGATAAAACTCACTTGAGCATTTCTCACATTTAGCTCTACAGGACAACAAATCTGATTGGCATGGAGCCAGGGAAGGATGACAGCAGGAACTGATCCCTCAAGGCTGTTTGTAGAGGAGAGGGGTGGTAGCATAGCATTGTATGGGCTGAGTCACTAACCTTACCTTCTCCCAGACTGCTTTCTCCAGACTGCTTTATCCAATCCTAAGAAGCGAGGCCACTGACTGAAACAGGCTCACTCTACAGAAAAGTCAACCCGTAAAATCTTTCTAAACACTGGTTCATGTAGAATTATTTTCATAGCTGCAGAGAAAATTGGCAAAAAATAATATATTGACCAAAGTGTAGGAAACCTGATGAAATAATTATGTTCCCAGATTGTTTTATTATAAAAATAAGGCCACATACATTGCAATCAATTTGTAATAATTACCTGAGATTTGTTCATGCAACAGTTCAAATGTTAAACTTTGCCATAGCAATTGCTTACTATATACCAGAGTTGTTAGAAGATTATTTTAGGTGGGTACTCATTTCCCTTCATTTATTTTTCTTTGCTATAAAGTACTTTTTCTGCCATTATTATGACTGAACCTTCTGAAAAGTGAGCTGAGAAGAACATCATGTATATTGAAATAATATTGAGTAAAAATATTTCTTGTTCCAACTTGATTCAGAGATAAAAGCACACCATGCTTTGGAATAGTTTATATTTTTAAAGAATCCAAACTATAAATAAATAATTATATTTTATTTTGAAGTAGAGTGGAAATTTTAAATACTGAAGTAATTGCCTGGACCACATAAAAATGTATGTCAGCTATAAACTACGAGCCAATTTTGTATTCATCATCACCGGAGAATTATTTATACTTTCCATGTAAGTCACTTAAAAGACACAGCAGTTACAACTCCCCAGATTAATGTGGTACCTACGAATGCATGTAATCATGTGCGAACTTTAAAATTCAAAAGTGTTTAAAATTGTTTTATTAATGTACCATAGATATTTACAAGATTTTAATAATATACATTTTTTTCTTTCCAAACAAGTCTGTATTAAGAATGTGTCTTGTATCAGAGACTGGAAAGCATATTTACAGAATGTTTTGCTTTCAAAAAAACTCTCAAATATTTATGGTTTTATTCATTGGATAAGTGGCTGAATAGCAAAACAGTAAAAAATCACAATGACAATTGACAGAAAATGCGTGCTAGGTTCTAAGACTTGAATTCCTCTGGAACTCAAACCTGCAAAATATAAAGATAAGACAAAAATTTCTTGAGATAAAGTATTGCCTGCTAGATTAATTTTTCAAAACCCAAAATTTATACTAACATTTCTAGTAACATGTTTTATTATACTTGTCATATTCACATTATATTTAATTTTAGCAAGTGCCTTACCCTTTCTTTGTCCTAGGATGCCTGCTTTAAGTATAAAAATGCAAAAGAAAAATCCCTAAATTGGCAAAGTCTGCCTAAAGGATTGGCCAGCATTGGATGCTAATGACTTGCACTCAATCACAGCTTCAGGCAGATGAGTAAGTGATTCTTCTAATGCAAAAATAATACATTATTGTTGCATGCTAACCCTGACTGACTGATGCTGGTTGGCTTAGAAAATTGTATTGAGAAGGACTTGAAAGTTGTTCCTTATGAATGCCACACTTGATTAGTGATGTCTGCCATGAACATGGGAAAGAGTATATTTGTATGTGATCATATTTGCCATCCCTGCTGTAAGAGACATGAAAGAATCTATGAAAAAACTTTCTGACTTTTGTGCCAATAGAATGAGTGATAGAATTATGCTCTACTGACACAAAGTTGTTTTTTTTATTTAATTTTCCTTTTATTTTTATTGTTTTGGTTTTCAGGAGAGGAAACATAAAAACATTTAATGTATAAGCATGTTACAATTTTGGAGAATAACTTTAAAAAAGTTGGCTCATCACCTTTTGCTCACAATTGAAAATGTATCTTATCACTCAACATTTAAACCATAACTGGAAGGTTTCATGGAGCTGAATTTTATGCAGCAGCTGTCTCAGTTCAAAATCTACTACAGCAAGCGTGACACAACTTACTTGACATTTTTGGAATCCTAATTTCCTCACTGCTGCTTCCATCCCCACCATCACTGACTGTTCTTATTTCAATTAAGTAGTCTTCTTCAAATGGTACCAGAAGCTCAGCTGATGTATTGTTTGTTTCCAAAATATGAGTCTTACTCTGTCTGTTTTGCCGGTACAGGATCTGAATAAAATGAAGTATCAAATTAGCATGGACAGGTTGCTTCTCTAAGGTTCACACAACTGTTCTGGAACACTGTAAGATATAAGACACAAGACACATAATCATAAATGTTGTACTCCTCAGATGGAAACATCCAGGTGATGCCTTTCCTTTAAATTCAGTTGCTCCTGTTAAGAAAAAGAGTTTTGTTTTTTTGTATTTTGGTTTTTGTTTGGCCAATGCCTCTGGAAGGGGAGTAGATTTCTCTCTATTAGTTAAATAGCTTAAGGCTATTATCACTGGAGCTTGCTGTGAAAACTCACTGTTTAGTTTGGACCCATTTCAAATGTTGAATATATGTTTGCCAAGAGATGATGCCCATTATCACCGATGGAAAGATTTGCTCTGGGTATTTGACTACACTCTTGTTAGATGCCTTTTATGTTGTTAAAAGATCATATCATACTATTGCCTAAGTTCTAAAAACTCTAGTTAGATATATTCTTTGGTCTCATTCTCATCACGTCTACTACCCACATATGCCATTATCTTATGATGTCGCTTGAAGAAAAAATGTTACATCCTATGGAATTTTATTTTTTGATGTTCCCTAATACGCTACTGGACATTAGAATATAAAACCTCTTCAATGGAAAATTAGAAACCAAAAATGGCATTTTCAAAATAATGTTGAAAAAGATTGCAATGTTTCCATATGGATACGATTTGTTTTCTATTTGGGTGTCACAGGTCTCATTCCTTAGTAACTTGATTGGTATGATTAAAAGAAAAACTAAATACTCACCTTGTACCCCAAAACTTCAGACTCATTTTCCATGGTTTTTACATGCTCCCAGTTCAAACATAATTTAGAGTTGGTCAGCTTCCAGGCAATGTTTGCTGGTGGTTGACTTGGAGCTTTAAAGAGACAATCAAAGATCCAAATGAATACTAATTAGCTCATGATCACTGTATGATTTGTCAACATGAAAAGAAAAAATAAGTCTTCCATGATTTGCATAGAAGGAGCTAAAATGTTTTCAGTGTCATTTGAAATATATTAATTCTACTCACAGTAAGCAAATTTATTCACATCTGGTCATTTGGGAATGTCTTTGTGACAGACTTATGAATTAATAATGGCTTGCTGCATGTCCAGTATTAATTTATTAATCATTGCTGTTGAGTTTACTTTATCATATATAAACAGACAGAGAGTATCTTTAGGATTCCATTTGGCCATCAATCAATAAGCATGTTTGATAAATTCAAGTTGCAAACATTTTATATATCAACACAGATATGTTCATTCTTAAAATTCTTTATATTTTAACATTGTATTAGTTAAGTTTCTAATTGTATCAATACCAATTCAAGATATTTTAAACAAAATATTTGTAGTAAATTATCATGGATATTTCTTATAACTCATGGCAGATTGCAGCAGAGTCTGAGGAGAGACAAAAAATGTCACAAAGCCAAGTTCTTCACTCTGCTTATCAAAGCAGCGTCTGCTGCATGCTCATCTTGCTAGAGAGCACCCCTTTGTCATTCTCACTGTACATGGCAGAAATCATGACTGTTCACCACACCTGAAATTTGAAACCTTCTCTGTTCAGAGATAGTCAAGTTAGAATTCCCCCAAGAAAGCTGATGATTAACTTCATTTGGTCATATGTCTATCTTAACTTAATTAACTTGTCTGGACAATCTGAAAGCTGCATGCCATTAAAAATAAATAGAGCTTTTGGGAACCCAGAAAAGGGAAAACTCATCACAACATCATTGATCATCCCAAAGAGTGTCAACTTCAAATCTAAACTGTGACTTTTAGTTTTCTGAAATTAATGTTGTCTGGGTGAGAGTCGGTGGAAGATAAGAAATGAAAGATTTAGAATCAGGCCTCTAAAGTAATGGATGTAGTCCAACTAGAGAATTTTACATACTAGAATCCAGGTTGGGAAGTCACTTATCCAAAAGCATGCAGCTAATGAATCTTGGTCTGTTGCTTTCCTGTGTAGTGTTTCTTCAGAAAAACTTGCTGCTTTGAAAGATTTGAGCCCACATGACTATTTTTGAGTTTAAGAAACTAGAGAGATTTAAAATAATTCATCTGGAAAGCAGAAGCAAAGATAAAACTGCCCAACAAGATGTATTTGGCATCTTTTTTGAATTTGTGAGGCTGAATGAGAGTAATATTTAATTCATTATAACACTGATAGAAATGGAAACTATTTCTTTCAGAGTTTTGACTCAACTGCTGTTTAATCGCCTACATGTCGCTAAGAGTCACATATTGCAGAATCCAGGTGTCTCAATTACATTACCATGCATTCTCTCTGTACCCCAAATCCACTGGGATATCACTATTGTTTACTCAGCCACTTACAGTACAGTTGGGATGTGTTAGAGAAATGTTTCCCTGTGTTCTCACATGAGGCTCAGTTCATATTTCATTACAGATTTATCACATTGGAATATATTTATTCTTGGTGATATGTTTCTTTAAATTACTTGAGGGCATGTGCCTTATTTAGCTCTATATTACCAATCCCTAGTACAGTGCCTGGCATATAGGAGACATACAATTCATGTATGTTGAATAAATGACTGTACAATAAGATGGCTAAAGAAAACTGCTCAGGTTCCTGTGGTGATCTTCTCAGGCTGTACTGATTATACACTGGACTCTGGGCAGATCCATAGGTGACAAAATACAGCCAATCCATTCATTATGTTGTCCTATGATCAAGGCCAATTTCCATGGTCAGACTCATAGCAATCCATACCTATTTATAAGATGGACAGGCCAACTGGATTGACCATGTCCTGGCACATTTCTTGACAATATAAACCCGTAATTAAAGACCTGAAAGCTTTTAGCTTAGTAAGCATTCGATACATTGCTTGTCAATGTACAATGTACTTGTCAATTATAATGCTTATCAACATATTTATTTCTAAAGGTCTGAATGGCAACCATAATGACTGTGTAACTATCCTTTCTGAATTTATCCCCCAGTGACCTTTTAAATCTTTTTCTCATCTATAAAAGAGATAATATCAAAATTCTCACAGGATATTGCAATTGTAATATCTAGTATACTCTAGATACCTTTCTTTTTATCTTTGTTCTTTAAAACTCAGCACCAACATTACCATCATACAATCAATACAGAGAAAATATAAACTCACCACTTCAGTGTCATTGGCAGTGTGGATTCTGGAAGTTTTATGTATTTCTGTATGTTTTGTTTGTTTGTTTTAGGAAAATGTATTGTTTTCAACACTATAAATCCACTGAAAAAATCAACATGCTAGGAGACAGAACTGATTCATTCCAGCTACATAAAGGAGCAGTTTGTGATGTTGGCAATAACTTTGTCATTTACATGTTTGCATTTGTTTGCTCATCTACCAAAACAGAAGCACAACATTCCCTGGGCATAAAATAAGAAGAGTTGCATCCTGAATGGGTACCTCGTTATGAATGGCCAATTATACGGATTATTTAGAATGATTTACTTGTCTTGCTTTCTGGGAGATAAAAAGAGTTGGGCTTTGATATCAGAGAGACTTGAATTTGTATCTAGTCTCTTCCAAGAGCTGGATTTTACCATTATAAAATGAAACAAATAATTCCTTCTTTATGAGATACGAAATAAAATATGAAACATTACTCATTTGGTTAGTGGTACGTATTATAAAGCTCTGTAACTGTTAATTCTCTTTCTGAGAGTAGCAGTTCTCCACTGTGGTGTTATGACATAATCAATTTCTCAATTGTGTTCGAAATGGTTTGTTACTAATAATACAATTCTGAAGTTTGCAAATGATTCACTTCTTAGATATAATTAGTGTACGTTCAAGTTTTCCCCTTAATAATATTGCTCTTACTTGGATCTTTATATGCTTTTAGAAAGAGAGATAAAATGGGAGAGTCTCAGTTCATTATCTTGGAATATCTCTTAGTAGATCCTTTCTTATCTTTATCCATGGATGTTTCTCCAATGTCATTCCCTTATGTCGGATATTGAAAAATATAAGCTTCTGAAAGCTGCTTTAGAAGGCCATCACCTTAATATAAGCACTGTTAACAGTTCTTGTTTGATGTAGTTGATTAAACTGGATTGCAGAAATCTATAATAAAATTAAAATTCCTGTCACCTTGACAAACCAAAATACTGTCACATGGACAGCAAAAAAAAAGATATCATGATGTTTGTACCAAGTCTATCAATGGTAAACTCAACAAGCAAGCCCTTTTCTGATTTTTAAAATCTCTCAGGCAATTTCCAAAGACTAAATCATTTTCTATTAATCAAATGACAGAGCAACATTAAACTAGCCCATCACAGCTCTAATGGTTTCCCTATAATCAATTTTTCTGTAGATGGCATTTATATTCAACTGTAGTTCACACTGTGAACTCAATTCAAAAACAACTTCTTATGTTACACTTCTAAGTAACAGCATGGGATTGACATTTGGGCAAAAGAGAAAGAACATAAGTGCAAGATAAAATAAAAGCTTAATGCTTCCTTTATGTTTAAATATGGATTGATTGCGTATTTATGGCAAGAGAGAATCCAGTACAAAGTGCTAGTCAGTCAACGTCAAAGGCCAAATTGAGCCAAAATTTGCAAACACTTTCAGTTACTGTGTCTGAATACTTCTTTCTATATAAGCAGTGTTTTGTTTGTTTTACTTTTCTTTTCCTCTTGGAATTGACGTAAATGTTTTTCTTTCTTTCCTTGTAAATCTAAATTCCTTGTAAGTGATGTCTGTGTGGATCGCAGTATATTTGCAGTACCTCTCAGTTGTCTTTTGGAAATCCATCATTTCCACTAGGCCCTGGTACTTACAGTTGAATCACTGATATTTGTTTAAAAAGACAATAACACTACAATCATCATCCTCAACAGTAACAATAACACTTAAGAAGTTTGGCATATATTATTCCTTTTGTTTGGAAGCTCTTTCATCCTTAAATCCACTTTATCTTTAGTTTTGTATACATGGCCTATCATATATAGATGCTTCTTCTTATATATATCTTAGTCTCTCACTGATTTTCTTCATTGTACTCTTCATAATTTGTAATTATTTTATTCATTTGTCTTTTTTGTCTTGTTTTAGGTTGCCTCTTCTCTGAAAGAGAAATTGCCTGTTGGCAAATATCTTGCTTCTTTTAACTGCTCTTAGGCCCTCAGCACCTAACTCTGGGCATGGCTCATGGGAGGCACCGTCTTTTGAGCAGATGGCTGAATGATCAAGCAAAAAAAGCCAAAAAACAAAACACCTCTGCTTTTTCTTTAGCTTATCCAATTAGAATAGACAGAGATTTTGTAAATGTGAGCTCTGCTTGTTGAGACTTTCCAGTGGAAGATGAAATATCAGATTATAAACATAGACAGTGACAGTTTAAATGTGTGACAAATTCAGAATTTTTTGCAGTCACCACTATTGAGAGGTAATCTTGATGTCATCTCAAGGACATGGAAAATCAAAGTCATACAGAAGTGGCACCTGGAATGATGGTTATCATCAATGTTTCATTAATGTTGTTTCTCATACATGTTTGATGTTCTTCTATGGTCCTTAAAGAAAAGAAAATTTCTGCAACAAATTTATGAAGAGAAAGAAAGTAGCTATGTTTCCTTACTTAAAAAAATGCAAAGAAAGTGAAATTGCCTCTAAAGGAGGAGTATAATAACACATGTTACCATGCACTGAGCCTTCATGTATGACAGCCTCTGGGTCATCTTGGTGTATATTATATCCTTTAGTTCTTAGAGAAATAACTAGAGGTAAGTATCTTCATCTCCATTATTCAGATGAGAAAATGCATTCAGAGTTACCAAATAATTAGATCTGGCACACAGATAGTACGTAGCTAAGCAGGGATCCATATCCATAATTCTCTCACTCTGAAGTCCCATTCTAAGTTTTTCCAACACTGTTTCACAATGGACCACAGTTATTGGAACTCTTAGAAAGGCCAGAAAACAGGAAACAAATTCTCCTTTGGAGCTTCCAAAGCTAGGGCAGCCCTTGCACATGTCTGGATTTCCACCCAGTAAAACCCCTTTCTAACTCCTGACCTCCAAAATGTTTGATAACCAACTTGTATTGTTTTAAAACACAAAGTTTGAAGCCATTAATAGAAAACTAGAAAAGTTACTATTCTGTTTTCACAATGTCTGTGATATAGAATGTCAAAGTAATAAAATGAGAGATTGGATAGTATTTAAATACAAAGGGATGGAGGCTTGTATATTCTTCTTATTCTCAGGTGCTTGTTGGCTATTTTGATAGGGTCACTGAAGCATACAGGCTGGTAAGAGCCAAATTTAAGAGCCATTGAAACTAGATGTCCATAGAAAAAATTAGGAATTACAGAGTTTTTTTTTGTTTTTGTTGAATTTAGTTAAGTAAGTTGAATACTTAAAGAAACACAAATCTTCAGTTTAAATTTTCTGATTATTATTTCACTTTTTCCTTAGCAGAGGTATTCTAACATTGTATTCTGGGTGAAATTACTCATTGTAACTTAAACTGTTTTCAAAAATTTATATCTCCTACTCTTTGCCAAATTGATCATGTGTTAACCAACAGACAAACCAATAATTGTTTTAGCATTTGATGTGAATTTCAGTCCAGCCCATTTGTAGGATCAGTTGGGCCAATTGAACAAATCTAGTGTCAAAAACAAGGATTTTTTTCTGCTTAGAAACAGAATAATTTGGTACAAACTAACAAATTTAATTTAGGTTGCATAAACAATGAAACTAGAAAATTTAGGTGACAGAAAAACATTATTGATATTTTCTGAAATGTGTATGTGTGTGTGTTTTATATATATATACACATCTGCCATATATATATATATACACACACACATACACATACATACATATAGAGACACAGAATATATATACAGAGTGAGGTCAGAGATGCCTGGACCAGGTGCCCCATCACAGGTGCCCACAACCCGAGATGCAGGAGGAGTGGCTCGCATGAGAAGCCCCTTCTTAGGCTCTGTCAACCCATCATGCAATCCAGCCTGGGCCTGCTCCTGGCGCTGAGCCTCCCTTTGCTGCCAGCCCCCTGGGACCGAGTCTGGATGAAAATATCGACCTTTTCTGCCAATGAGAGCAGCACTGTTTTACCTACACCCACCACCTCCAGCTCCAATGGAGCCCTGTCTCAGTGGGGATGTCACTGCTATCATCGTGGCCTTCCCTATCCTGACCATCTTACCCCTGGCTGTGGGGCTGGGACTATTAATGTGGAAACTTCGGGAGACGTGGCAGATGGAGGGCACCTACTAGCCCAGCAGCAAGGAGCAGCTCTCCTATGAAGCCAAGGCCTGTGCCCTTCAGGACTCCAGTAAGACCCTGAAGGGCTGCCTGCACATTTAGGTCCCTTCTTCATCTGTCTCCCTTCATTGCTGTGTGATCTTGGGGAAAGGCAGTGCTGTCTGTGGGCAATCAGATCCACCTAGTACTTAAGAATAGCAGGGAAGAACGTCCTTCAAAGTCCGCCCCTGAGGTCAAGGGAGGGCGGGGTTACTCACTTTTATATATTTATATAAAATTAGTAGTGAGATACGAAAAATACATATATGTATATTTAATACAGAAAATCTCAATAAGAATTTTAAAACATATATATAATATGTACATGTTTTATATATATATATATATATATATATATATATATGTCTCTCTCTTCCTGAAGTAAATGATTAGTTTAATGTTCAGCTTTCAATCCACCTTAAACTGGTTGATGGGATTATGTATAATAAAAGTTGACCTGAGTCTTAGCTCAATAACTGCACTAAAATGTCTGTCAGTCTTTCATGATACAATCTGTTTTTTTTTTAAAAAAATGCTTCTAACACATTTCTAATCATTACTGATTTTGCTTCAGATAGAAACTGAATTACACATGAGAGCTTTTGTGAGTTTGGCATCTCTCAGTCAACTAGACCTAAATGTCTAGTCAATCTGAAAACTGCTCATTGATCAGAGATTTTTATCCAGATTTGCAGATTAGCTGAAAGAAGGTAGACCACTCCAGAAAGACCAAAGAAGCAAATCATAAATCCAAGTTATCTGGCAATGACTTCATCGATTTAGTCAACATTAAGTAAAACAGGAAGAGCAAGAGAACTACATTGTTAACTAATTCATTCTTGAAAATAACTCACAGCCTGTCTAAAGCTGGATAAATCGGAGGAAAGCTGGTTCAGAGATTTTTGGTCCACAGGCTTTTGGTTTGTTTGTCTCCTTCCTAGCAGTTCCACAGCACTTCCTATTTTCCAGGATGTTCCCCAAATCAGTACCTTGTTTGTGCCTCATGGATAATTTGGGAAGGCAGTGAGGACAGAGAGAATTTCCATTTAACAGATAAGAACATGAAAGCAGAAAAATGGAATGCCTTGTCCTATTTCAAGTCATGAGTCAGTGATGTACCCAGAATTGGAACATGAGCCACTGACAGTTAATCTGCTTATATAGAAATCACTGGATGATCTATTTAATCAAGGGCCTATTCTCTGAGATTGTTCCTAAGTTTTTTTTGGATATGACAAATATACGCATAAGGGGAGTAACTATAATATAATTTTATTTTTAAACTCTTCTCAACCACCTCTTCTTTCCAAATATGGTGGTGTAATAGAAGTATAGGTAAGCTAGATTTTTGATAGCGGTAGTAAATTTGTCTTCGTCTTCCTCAAAATTCAGCAATTGCATTTGTTGTTTTTCATTCATCAGGATTCAGAGAGCAAAAAAATATGTTTCTAAAAGGCTGAGTTTGTGAATAATTTGCATTCATTTATAACATATAAGGCATATGTAAACATTACACAACCACAAAAAATCATCTTGCAGGAACAGTCAGATATGATCAGACCTTTCCCAATGTATTGTTGTGCCTCATATTATGGAATATTTGTGCATTACCAGACTCAATCAGAAAACAAAGGCAGCAACAATCACCAAAAGATGAAAAACATTCATCTTTTATTTAGTAGATTCTGATTATGTGAAATCAACTGGCTGATTATAAAGGGATATAAGACAAAGCAGAAGAGTTCATTCTTTGATTTCAGGGGCTTCCAAGTAAGCCGTAGTAATAAGGTATCCAAAAAGGAATGATCTAGGTATATGGCAGTTGTAGGATCACATCTGAATATACTTGGACTCAAATGACAAATAAAGCAAAACAAAAACCATCTACTGAGCATTTGTTAAGGTGTGTACTAGGCATTTATTATTAATAATCTCTTTCAGTTTTGAACAGAACTGATGAGAACATAAATACAACTTTTTCCTCATTTTATAAGTGAGGCAACTGAGACTGAAAGATAAATACCACCTAACATTTGGATGACGGGCTGTAAGTTTTCTAGAGCATTTTGAAGAAGGGTATCAGGCCCAGTCTTAAACATTATACTCCTCTGTCTTTAATTGATATACTTGGAATAGTCCTCTTTTGGAATTCCAGAAAGATCAAATATTTACCTTGATTCTTACCAAAAAGTTTCAATAAGTATCTACATTTAAGGGACAAACCAAGTAATCAAAGTAAACAAGTAGTAAAAAGATGAGGTGAGGGGAATGAAACGAACATCAAGCAAAGGAATAGGTTTCTCTTCACAGATGAATCTTGTTTCCTGGAGTATATGTATACTTACGAGACTTTTTGGTGGTAACATTGACTGGGGGGCTTGAGGGTCCTGTCCCAGCAGTGTTGTAAGCTCTCACGGAAGCGAAGTAGACGGTATTAGCTTTCAGCCCTGTGATGTTTTTGGTTGTGATATTTCCACTGACTCTAATTTTACCAATCATGGATTCTTTGGAGTCATCTGTCCAGTATAAGACCTGATAATTAAAAAACAAACACAAGCAATTTATTGCTCCCCAACAACTATCAACCATTGTTTACCAACAACTATCAATCACAACCACAAGGGATATAGGAAGAAACAGAAGCATAGATGACAAAGACATTTTCTAATTAAAATGGTTATACAACAGCAATAAAATTGATATTCTCTAATTTCGTTGTTGTTGAAAAAAGTCATGAATACAAATTCACAATGGAAATTAGAGAAACTGATTTTTTAGATTATGAAAGTATTTTATGAGCTATCTAAAGGTTACCAGCTTTAGCAAATGATGTCTAATAAGTCAGACAAAAACACATTTGTATATAATCAGTCAAAGACTATGGTCATAGCTTTTTGCTATTGGCATTTCTTTTCAGAGTTCTTTGAATCACAGGTTAATTAATCATGCAATTTAAACTGAGCTCTAAATATGCAATAGCATTGTTTTAGGTACACTGAAAAAAAAAAAAAAAAAAAAAAAAAAAAAAAAAAAAAAAAAAAAAAAAAAAAAAAAAAAAAAAAAAAAAAAAAAAAAAAAAAAACAAGAGAAAATAAATTAAGTATCCCCTCATCATCTAGCTAAGAGGTTAGAATCCACAGTATATGTGAAAATAAGTTATAGAATGCATTCCAAAGAAGTGATATAGAAAAAAAATGCTACAAGAATTTGATGAAATATGTCAGGAATTGATGAGAGTAGAGCTCAGACAGAAGAGGATACTAGAGAGGGAATTTGAGAAATAACTAGGGTTCAGATAAGAGGTAAGGCATTCTTGTCATGGAGTGGCAAAGACATCTGTCATGAGAGTAGAACTATATTTTGGAATCCATGTGTGTGTGTGTATCAGTGTGTGTATCTATATCAGTGTGTATATATGTGTGTATATCATTTCACTATATATGTGTGTATATAATATAATCATATAATCAATCATATCATATATATGTATATAATCATATAATCAGATGACTGATTATACATACACACACACACACACACACACAGACACACATGTACACATATATATTGAGATGAAGGGCTACAAATCTAATTTGCCTTACTCTTTGTAGACTAAAAATAGCAGATTCAAAACACACATATTGTCTGTGTATGTGAGATGACAGCCTACAAATGTAACTTGCCTTACTCTTCATAGACTAAAATTAGCAGATTCAAGACAATCTAGGTATTTTTTCATTACTGAACTGCATTTTCTGAGATAATTACATCTTTTCAAGCTATACTCCAATTCACAAGTAGGTATCTCAATGAAATTCTTTCATGGTATAAGATTATTGAAGAGCAGACTTTACCTCTTCCCAAGGAAAAAAAATGACTGCAATTTGAATAATTAGTAATATAATCACCTGATCACTTTTGAAAAATGTTATTGTGGTAAGAACACTTAATGTGAGATCTGTTCTCTTAAAAATTTTAAGTGTACAATGCACTATTGTCGACTCTGTGTGCACAGTTGTACAGCGGATCTCTAGAGCTTACTCATCTTATTTACCTAATCTCTAAGCCTTTAAAAATGGCTACTGTTTGTTAACTTGTTTGCTTAGAATTACCTAGAAAGATCTCCTTTACTATATGGGAGGAGGCAGAAGTTTACTATGGACGAGATTGAAGACTGGCTGAAACAGGAAAGAGGTTAAAGCACCTGTCCATAAGACACACCCTCAAGTTCCATGTCAGTTTACCACTGCCATGGCAACACCTGGAAGTTACCACCCCTTTCTGTGGTAATGGTCTCAAATTTACCACCCCTTTCCAGGGCAATGACCTGGAAATAACCACCCTTTTACTAGAAATTTATTAATAACTTACCCAGTAATTTGCATGTAATTAAAAGCAGGTATAAATATGTAGATCTGCTCCCAAGCTGCTACTCTCAGCATGCTGCCTATGGGGTAGACCTGCTCCACAGAAGCAATTACAAAGCTATAACACTGCTGCCTCAATAAAGCTGTTTTCTTTTACCACTGGCTCACTCTTGAATTCTGTCTTGAGCAAGGCCAAGATCTTTCTCAGGCTAAGGCCCTATTTGGGGGGCTCACCTACCCTGTCTCAAATTCATCCCTGCTGTAGCTTTAGACATACATGATCATATGCTAACAACTGGCTAGTAGGATAGGGCTTTTGAACAGGGGCTATTGTGAAGTCTGTTGGCACATTCATGAGCAAAAATGAAATTAATGTGGATTACCTCGTAGCCCAGCACTCTTCCAGTGTTTCTATTCCAGGCAATAGCATTCCATGAAACCTCCATTTCAGAAGCAGAAAAACTCTGGACAGAAGTTCCCCTTGGGGCCAGTTGAGGTTCTACCATACAGAGAAAGACATGACCATCTTTAGCAGAGTGGTTCATTGAAGAGGGAACAAGGGAACACAAACCATGCATAGAGTCTCAAAGAAAACCAGAGCCGAGAGCAACTTACCATCTTCCCCAGAGTAGACAATGGTCACCGTACTCAGGGGTCCTTCTCCTTCATCATTATACACACCCACTTTGACTTCAAAGGGAGAAAGTGGGATGACACTTTCATTTCTGTAAACAAATCTTGATGATTCCACAGATGCTACTTTCTCCTTGGTCCAGGTTGTTGAGCCCACTGGCCGGAACATGACGATATATCCAAATCCCTCCCCATTCTGAAGTTCTTCTGGAATTGACTTGGGCAGAATGTGATCAATCACTGAGTATTCGCAAAAATATTGTATTAAGCTACTATAATATTTATTGATTATTTCACATTTCTTCCTTAGAGACAAATATGGACATTTATGTTTAACGATGTATTAAAAATACTTTTATTTGAAATGCCAATTAGAAAAATGATCCCAATTTAAGATACTCAGATAAATAGCTGAAGTTTTCAGACAGAAATATAAAACAAGCTTTACGTATTTATATTTTTTCTTTGATCACTAATAAATTACAGTAATAAAATAGTTTAGGAGATTTTATGATACACACTAAAATGTGGTTTTGATATGAATTTTTAAACTCAGCACAGATTAACTTATTAACTATTTATTTCAAGACTAGGTATGTTTTCGTTTCACAACATTTTAAACAAGTTTTTGTAAGACATGAGTAATGTAATTATTGTGAAATAGCATATGATTAAAGACATGGAGTATTTCTTTAAAAAGTATAAAAGATCTTTCATCATTTCTCAGGCATACATCTTCACTGATAGTGACATGTGTGCATTTTTCCTAACATGACAAAATAAACTGTTAACTCTCACAAAGATCAGATTTTATAAAATACATTTCAAGTCTCAAATTACTATACTAACAAAACAGAAATAGACACATATTCTCCCTGTACTATACAGATGCTAAAAATCATAAATAATCATATGAAGTTAGCAAATTAAAATGGATCTGTGCTTGAATTTAGACCCATGTATCTCCTAATTGCAAGAAACTTGGATTGAAAAATCAATGGAATTTATTTGGTTTTCCCAAAGGAAAATGCTTTGCTTTTTTTTTTTTTTTTTTGTAAATATTCTGATACACTAATAAAGGCAACACCTAGCAGGACATAGCGCTTCTAGTCCCTCATGCCCACAACTCCATTTCAAAGGTTCTCTTTATTTGTGGGAGTTCATTTATTATATCAATCACATTATCCTGCCACTTGGAACCCATGTGAGAACCCATTCATGAGCAACAGAATCACAGACACCATCTTGGTGAGTATCTATGAGGGCAGAATCTCTGCACTGTATAGTAACTAATAGACATGGTCAATTCCTCTCATAGAGTTTGCATATGAAACATGATGAGTGGCAGAACAATAATAGATATACATAGAGCAGGCAAAAATTAGAGAACTTGAAGTAGCAGGAACAGTGAGGCAATAAAAGCTAAGAGAAAACAGATGCTGTAAATTAGAGAGAGGAGATCCAATTTAGCTAGCATCCAGGTAGAAAACTGGAAGTAAAGGAAATGGGATGAACTGAGGCATAAGCATGAGAGACTATTAAAGCCAGGGCTGGATCAGCAGAGAGGTTGTTGATGGTTGGCTAGAGCTCTTGTGCTCGGGTGCACAGAGCAGTGATGAACGATGTTCCAGTTCTTCATTTGACCTGCCTGCCTGTTTGCTGAGACTTTTTCTTGTCCTCATTACTTCCCATGTAGCTTTAAAATAAATCCCCATTAACCGAGATGACCTGACCTGGTCTCTATTTCTTGCCATGTGGAACAGCCTCACAAATTCAGAAAGGGAAAAGAGAAAGAAAAATGCAGCTCCTGATATCTGGGGAAACAAAATATTTCCTCATATGAATGCTTCTCTTCTTTTTCACAGGGAGACTAGAATTAAAACAGTTAATTTTGAATGGCATAGAAGAGATTTATGAGAAAAAGCTACTTGTTAGAGCATTTGATTCATTTCTGAAGTTTCTTTGATCTCAGATTAAATCAGGAAGCTTAGTTCATCTACATAAATAGGGGACTTTTGTTTTTGTTAGTCAAATACAATTAGTGTTTCTCATGGTGCTCTCTCAAGAAAGATCTGAGTCCGACATATGCAGTTTAGAGAGGAAAAAAGAGACTAATTTAGATACTTCCTTTTATTCTCATATGAACAGAGTCAAATGATTAAGAAATATATATAGTTATCTAAGAAGGCCAGAAAAAGAGTTTTCTTTAATGGAGACAGTGTTTAGTAAAATAAAGAAATTGTGAAATTCTTCTGGGAGTGAAATCTATGAAAATTGACAAACTAATAATGTAATTCTCAACCACAGTGTCTGTAAGAACCAAATCTTTAGTACAGACTAAGGATCAGCAAAACCATGTACTTCCAGCCAAATGTGGCATACAGCCTGGTTTTGAGAATAAAGGTTTTGAGACATGCTGGCACCTATGTGTTTATAAGTGGTATGTGGCTCTTTTGAGCTGCAAAAGCAAAGTGAGACTTCAGAAAAGATATCATATGGCCCACAAGACTGAATATTTTTACTGTCTGGGCCTTTAAATAAAAAGTATGCCAACTCTCAGTGTAGGTATGTATCTCTGACTCCACAGTGTTTTATCCTGTATACCTAATTTTATAGTCAAATTTATGAGAAATTCAGCACAAGCACCTCAAACCTGGAAGTATTTGGGAGTATACATTATGATAAAATAAAGAATAAACATGTTCTTAAAAATTAATTAGCCATTGCTATATTCTAAAAGTTTGATAGTATGTCCAGGTTATTGGAAACAAGCCAAACCAAAACAAATAAACACAAACTCTATATTTACTGTGTGGTACTGGGGAAAACACAGGGAAGATGCTTAATTCAGTTCAGGCAGATTATACTGCAGTGTGCCTAAATGAAGGCTAGTCACTAAAGCTGTCACTTATAAAATAGAGTGGTAGACTGTGACTGAATTTAGAATAGTCTTGTGTACGACAGTGCTTTTCAAAGTTCAACAGGTACTATTTCAACCACAGTAGGAGTGACATTGGCTGGGGGTGGCCGCTCTACTTCCAAGTCACTTTCAAAACACAGTTCAGATATACTCAGTTCTGATCATGTCTTTCCTGACCTCCTTCCAGGCTGGTTTAAGACCATTCTGTCCTGTAGGCATCTGAGCATTCAGACATTTTCTCATCCATTTTTGTATTACACTGATAGAAACAGAGAGGCTACTTAATATTGAGTTCATTAAATTGAAGGAATTACTACCTGCATTCGGGTGGCTCAGGTTCATACTAATGTATGAATCTTCTCCTAAATATACTTATCCCATAAGGAAGTTGGGCACGAGAAGAAGTTGCCTCAGTATCTGCCAGTACATAAAGTAAAATACGAGTGATAAATGGGAAACTGAATTCACTAGTTTAGTTTCTGCAAGTATCTGCATATTAGATATCCCAAGAGAAAGCACACAGAGGAACTGGCTTTAATTTACTTTTTGAAAATAGAGGTTAGTATGTGTTTTCTGTAGCGGTCCAGATAGTAAATGTAAAAAAAAAAAAAATTCAATTTTTATTTTAGATTCAAGGGGTACATGTGCAAGTTTGTTACATGGGTATGTTGTGTGATGCTGAGGTTTGGGGTACAATGGATCCCATTACACAGGCAGTGAGCACAGTGTCCATCAATAGCTAGTTTTTCAACCCTTACATCATCACTCTAGTAGACCCCAGTGTCAATTGTTGCTACCAGACAGTAAATATTTTAAGCCTTGTGGGATATATGGTCTCATACAACAGCAAGAAAGCAGCAATATACAACATGAAAAAGAATGGGTATAGCTATGGGTGGATTTATTCACAAAAACAGGAAACTGGCCAAATTTGTCTCATAGGTCATGGTTTGTGCACCTTTGCCTTAAAGAAAAAAGAATATTAATTAATTCATGTTCATCTCCATTTAAGAATGATAAGGGCTGGGTGCAGTGGCTCACACCTGTAATCTCAGCACTTTGGGAGGCCAAGGCGGGTGGATCATGAGGTCAGGAGTTCGAGACCAGCCTGCCCAAGATGCTGAAATCCCGTCTCTACTAAAAATACAAAAGTTAGCGGGGCATGGTGGTGCATGACACACCTGTAATCCCAGCTACTTAGGAGGCTGAGGCAGGAGAATCACTTAAGCCCAGGAGGTGGAGGTTGCAGTGAGCCAATATCGTGCCACTGCACTCCAGCCTGGGCAACAGAGCGAGACTCTGTCTCAAAAAAAAAAAAAAAAAAAAAAAAAGACTGATACGCATAGAATTTGTCCCTTCATTATAGACTGTGCACAAATGATTGCAACACTGACCTTTAGGAATTTCTGAGCAAGGGGGAGAACAAAATAAATATTAAGTCAGGCAAAACTGCCTATACACTATTATGATTATGCTTATATGGCCTTTGATGAATATAGAAACCTAAATAAACTACTCACAAAAAATTCTCTTGTAGACTCACTTGAAAGTCAGTGTTTTATAAGAAATATGTTTTGAGTAGCAGGTATAATATGGTTAGCTTACCACTTAAGGTAGATACTCAAGGACTCATGCCCACCCTGGAACATCACATTGCATGGGGACAACTGGGATTGTAATACAGGATACAGTAAAAGAACATAAGGGGATAGCCCTGTGTTCACATGCTTCTCTGCCCAATGATACATTTGTAACCCTCAGTTTTCTTACCTGAAAGTGGTGTAACCACCTCCTAGCATTATTGTGAGGACTGAATGATATGAAATGCTCTGGGTGGCACCTGAAACCCTGCAAATGCTTGAGAAAATAGGGTTTCCCCCTCTGTCTAACCTCTGAGAGTCTCAACTCTCTGAAAACACTGCCTTTCATTCAACCATTGCTCACAGAGGGCGGACCACATTCCAGGCACTGTGCTAGGCCTATGATGTCCACATGAAACAAGATGTCCAGAGGGAAGGGTGACTTTCAGGGCAGTTGCATCTAGTTTCTGACACTGTCATTTATAACCATAAAGAACAACATCTCTGTTTCCCAGTTTTCTCTCAGAGTCTAGCTGGGTGAAGTAGGCTTTAGCGAGAGACACCTGATTTGTATTTTCTGGAACATAGGAATGCAGTTTATTTTAACTGACAGATGTCTGAGAAACTTTTAAAGTGGGAAGAGATCTGGACAGCCTATGGTGGCAGAGTGAAGAGACATGGTAAGTGGGTATGCATTACACTTTCACTAAACTTGGAGCTGGGCATGGGTCTGCTGAGAGCAAATGTGAAACTCATGTAGTGGGTAGCCTTGAAGGGGACTCTATCTACAAAGACCACCTAGAGGAGAGAGACTATTCACTGGAAAAGTGGAAATGGACCACCAAAGTCCAGGAACTGATACCCTTCAGCAGCCAGTGGGGTCTACATCAAGGAATTGCAATTGGGAGTCCCTGGTGGGGAAGGCTTCAGGTACCAGTTCCCAGATAAAAAATAAACAAATAAAACAGAAACCCTACCCCATGAAATGGCAGTGTCTGGAAATTTGCCATACATAGAGTGTACCAAAGTCAAATCAGAAATGTACCGGTAATCCAGACATTTTCCTCTCTCCTCTCCTCCTAACACCAACATTCTGTAGCTCTGGAGAATCCAGAGGTAACACTGTGAATGGGGAAAGATAAATTACAGAGCAGAATGGAGAGAAGTTGAACTGACCATATATTCCCTTTCCTGCTATAGAATCCCCAGGCTGAGGCACTAAGCTACCGAAAATGAGAAACTTTAAATCCGTTGAAAGTCTAAACTCTGAAGTTTATACTCCAGTCTGATGTGTATACACCAGACAAAATTTGTAATAAGTTTAAAAAAATGAACCTATATGTTAGTGTGTAATAAGAATGACCACAAAATCTACCCCATGTGCCTAAGTTTTCATCTAGGTGCAGAAAAGAACAAGTTGATCAAATGTAAAGAGCAGTGTTAGGACAAGAATTGTTTTTTGTCTACTAAGCTCACCTTATTCACAATACAACAGTGCCACAGATAATAAATCAAACAATGCCTAATTCATCAAGTGATAATGAAAATGCTACTGACCCACATTCAGAAGATATTGAAGTTGTTTTTTATGTATTTGGGAGAAAATTGTGCTGAGTTCATCATACTGTCTCACAATGAGAAAAGTTGCTAATACCTCCTCTACATAATTCATCACCAGGATGATGTATTTTTATACTGTATATTTTTATATGTTCTCAATAGTGATCAAATACATCTTTGTTTTTCAGTATTCTTCCTGGCCAACTAAATCTCTTTTCTTCAAAATAATTCAGTTGGGCAGAAAATTACCTCCCACGTAATGACGAGCTCAGACCGACTTCCTCCACCTCCATTGATGTTTACTGGCGCCACAACAGGGACTAAAATCAACCAAGAGAAATGTGGGATGGCAATTGTTAAAGTACATCTTCATCAGGAAGAATTTTTATTTTGGATTTCACCTTTCAAAATCTCATGCAGGCATATTGTGAGAGAGTCTTGCATTTTTAATGAACATAAATTATGTTTACACATATCCAAATTTCTAAGAGAGAGGACACATTGTGTTTGATACATGAGCACTGTGGCTCCAAAATTAATTAAAAACTGAGTAACATCGGGTATTTGACATTATTATGCATCATCTACTAATTGGCAAAATGATGTTCCATTCAGATGGTAACAGTGACACTGCTGATTTAGTGCCTAATTATACAGTTGTGCTGTAAACAAGTTACAGAGGCAGTATATTAATTATTTTTTCAATAAACAAACTAAAATAATTTTTCTTTTTATTAGTCATCAGGATATTTTAATATTTAAAATTAAATATTGAAAAATATGTAAATAAATATTCTTATTTTAAATCTTCCCATTAGAATCTCAAATCTCTCAGGAGAGAATAAGAAGGAGTTTTCTTCTAACTTTTCACTTGTGAAGTCATATTTTTCTACTGTGAAAAATGTGATTGGGAGAGGTTCCTTCTATTTATCTTTTGGGATCTAAGGCTCTGTGGTAGAGGATTCAGAAACCAATGACTGATGAGTTTTTAAAAAACATGCCCCTCAAATATACCCTTGTGAGGGCTATTACAATGAATAATAGTTCAATAGAAATTGTAAAACTGAGGAAATTGTGAGTTGTGTATAGGGTATTGTAGTATCTAATAAGAATGAGGTTTTGCTTTACACATGTGTAAGTGTTTACAAGCATTATTTTTCTTGACATAATGACAAAAGTATCCTAAATCTGTGATTATGGCTAAATCACATTTTAAATTCTTTTAAAATGTGGAATTACATGAAATTGTCTATATTGGACCATTTTGAACAATATGAAAGGTGGTTGAGGAAGCACCTGGGTATAACTGGGGATTGTTAGGCAGGGATTAAAATATGTAAGTTTTAATTCTTCATTTCAAAATTTTTCCCACCACATAGACCATCTAAATAAATCTAGATTACTTATTTTATTTATTTCCATTTCATACAGATACTTAGCTCTATAAATATGGCCAGAAAATAGTCACAATAATCTGATTAGTTTTTTTTTTTTTTTTTTGAGACAGTGTTTCCTTCTTGTTGCCCAGAGTGGAGGGTAATGGTGCAATTTCAGCTCACTGCAACCTCTGCCTCCTGGATTCAAGCGATTCTCCTGCCTCAGCCTCCCATGCAGCTGGGATTACAGGCATGCATCACCACACCCAGCTAATTTTGTATTTTTAGTGGAGACAGAGTTTCACCATGTTGGTCAGGCTGGTCTCAAACTCCTGACCTCAGGTGATCTGCCCACCTCTGTCTCCCAAAGTGCTGAGATTACAGGCATAAGCCACCACGCTCGGACTGATTGTTCTTTTTCAAAATAGCACCTTTCAGATATACCTTTTCATATTTAAATTTACCCTTAAGTTTGTCAGCTTTAAGCTTCATAATTTTTTAGGAAAAAATTACTTAAACCTAAAACCTATTTTCTAAGTCTTCCAATGCCTTTGATCAAAAGCTATGGGAATCAGTGGATTTTACAGAGTTGCTGAATTTATAGGGCTTGACAGCTTATTGTGACTAACTGCACACTATCTCAGGACCTTTGCATAGTTTAGCTATGTAAGGAAAAGTATTTTAAATTATATTTTGATTTACTTTTATAAAATTTCCCGTGTTCTGAGAAATAGAAAATTCCTTTCCTCATTCAATTTCAAATTAATTGTACTTAAACCTAAAACCATATTGAGAACAGCTTCGTCTTTGATGATATCAGAGAGGGGGGGAGGGGAGAGAGAGAGGGGAAAGGCTCAGTAGGGTTTGATTCAGTAGAGTTTGACTCAGTAGGTATGAGTATCACCAGTCTCATTTTGCTACTGGAACAAGAGAGCTTTAATGGATAGAAAGTGGCACACAAACTTTGGTATTAAAATGTCAGAGTTTGTGTCAATGTCCAAAGCTACCAAAATATAAATTAACTATAAACAAACAACCTGAAACCAAAGCTCAAATCCAGAGTCATGGGCCACACCTGAAGATTGAGAGCCAGGTGGTATATAGGAAAGCCTGGGAATTTATTTACATACTTTAATAGCCACAGAAAGTGTGTAAAATATATTTAAACACTTTCTTTGGCTAATCTAATCTATTGCTTATCTACATTAAGATCCATTTTTATGGAGAATGTTGGGTGTAGAAATTAGGATGTCTGGATTCAAATTCTGGCTCTGTCAAAAACAACCAGCTAATATCCTGGTCTTCATTTTCCTCTTCTGTAAAACAAAGGGATTTCTTCTCAGCTGTAAGCTTCTAGCGTGATTTAATTGGATGATATCCCTGTCAAGTATGTCCCTTTTTTCTAGCCCCAATTCCATGATAAACATATAACATTATCTTTGGTTTACAAATTGATTTATTGACTTCTGACAGTTGTACTCACTTCACTTTAATAAGGTAATTGTGTTTGTTAAATTAAGCCAGCGACAACAAAGTGATCCTTTGTTTATATGACTGAATAAGAATGTGAACTTTGTGGGCTACATACAGCTAGCAGATTAAATGTCACCCCGGATGTGAAAGTTCGAGTGGAAGAAAGAGGATCCATTGAAAAGAGCTTAAGAAAGCATAGTTTCTGAGCCAGGTTCTTGTGTTCTGCTGTTCAGTGAACCAATTAATGCTCAATTAGTGCTCCTGTTAAATGAGTTTAGGATTTACCTCATTTGCATGGAAAAGAATTTATACTATTGCTCAATGAAGCTACAACTAGGTCAGAGTTTTGAAATAGATGGAAATGTATGGCTGACTGCACCAACAGAGTCTCAATTAATCCTTGGCTACAACATTTTAATGAAACAAACAGTAACTCATTTGCATATACAAATCTACAGATTCTGTATTGGATTTTGACTAGAAAATACATGTGATGCAAACACAGTTTCTGAAGAACTTTAATTTTGACATGCTGGCTTAAAGGTGATCATCTCTTATTGAACCCACTATCTGGGAAAAATACACCTTGCTTTGTATATGTAAAAATGGGAAATAGAGCCACTCATTTACTGCCAAACAATTTTGAGCCAAAAGTATTAAAAGAACATAATAATAGTTGTTTTCTTTAAGAACTATATCATACAAATTCTTCTACATTTTTAGAACACATTGATTCTTTACCTGATGCTTTAGTTCTTAACAATTCTGATGGTTTACTTGGTTCTCCAATCCCAATACTGTTGCCGGCAACAACACGAAATTCATATTCCACCCAAGGATTCAAACCAACCACTGTTGCATTGTATGTCTTGCCATTGAGAATTTCTGGAACTAAAAAAAAATGGGACATTAAGGCACCTAAATTGGCATTATTCAAAAACAAATAATTATACAAAATTATATAATTATTAATTAAAAATATGATTGCATTTGCTAAAATGATTGGACTGAATATTATTCTTTTAAAAGCATCCCAAAACTCTTTTGTCACTCACCTGTAGCAACAGCCTGCCAACCCACAGAAAATGGTGTCCGAGTCTGAATGGTAAATATTTGAATGGGACTGTTATTATCTGGGCCTGGTCTCCAGCTTAATTGAGAAGTAGTGCTGGAAATATCTTCCACTTTCACGTCCTCAGGAGGACCTGGTGGACCTGGAAAAACATGTTTTAGCATGACTACATTGGAGATACTTACATTCATTAATTTGGGACAAGGAAGGTTTATTTTTACCTGTTGTGCTTAAAAAGTAAAATATTGACCATAATATATTTGTAGCACATTATTAGAAATAAAGTTGTATTAATTCCATTTATGTGGTAAGAGACATTAATTTAGTAATGCTTCCTCTGGGGATTAGAAAATGTCACACATATGATGATTGCATATCAACCTACACTCAAAAATTGAGAACCATTGTCTTTAATTCATCTTAAATCTAACTGAAATAAATGCAACTAATAGGAAGCACTACAGGAGCATGTGGATTTGACTCTGCACTGACAGGAATGATTTTATAAACAGAAGGTGTGCCTCAGTTTTAGGCACTGACACTGCTTGCCAAGCCTGACTGTTCATTATAGACAAATCCTACAGAATTCTATGTTCATATCCACACTACCCATACCTTGGAGTCTTGAGGTTTAGAAAATAAAAAAATCTATCTAATTTAATCTCACTTCTATATCATGATGTGGTTTCTCAGAGGTCTACAATTTAGATATCAAAATTGTGACTGAATAAACAATGTGATCATTTTTTCACAATTTATGCTTACCTCTAACAATGATATCTGCTACTGCAGATAAACTTTCTAGGGCTGTTTGTACTGTGCAGAGATATTTTCCTGAATGATTTAACTGAATATTCCTTATCATCAAATCCCCAACAGATTCCTGCAGATAGAAAGGGAGAAAAGGATAAAAATGTAAGCCCACATAACAAGTCCTATGTTATTTTTACGGCTGGATAAATATTAAACATAAAACAACTCTGAAATTAAAAGATATACTACATCATTTTCATTTCTTGCATCTAAACTCTTTTATTATCCCCCTTATTATAATTACATCTAGAAAACAATTATTTCTATGAAAGACACAAAGCAAAGTAAACAGAAACAAAACAACTGCATCTTCTAAAACAGACAGTGATTATCCATGCAAATAAAGATGGAGAGAGTAATTATGAAAAATGGTGGTTCATGTAAAACATTTGATTCATTTTATTAAGCACTTAACAATTTCAGTAACTTACTCCTCCAATCCTTTCAAAATGAGCCACTCCTTTTTTTAAGTCTATGACATCTCCATTGAAAAACCATATAAATACCACCTCAATGGAGGGGTCATGCGACACCTGGCATGGTAGCACTATACTCTCGCCAACTGTAACATCCATTTTGGAAGGTGGGACGGTAATGACAGTTCTCTCTGTTGAGAAAAAAATATTATTTTTTTAAAAGCTTATGAAATGCAAGCCCATGGCTATAAAATACATATTTCTGAATCCTTTTATAATCATTTGAAATTATATAAACAAAAGCTGGAGTTCTACTATGTCCAGTATGAATATTCTATTGCCTGTTCTTAAATATCCTATATTTATTATCATTATAGCTTATTACCTATACTAAAATTAAAAACATAGTTTTATTTACACCTTATATGAAAATAGTTTACAGAAAACCGTAGACTTCAAAAAATGGCATTCCATATATATAGAATGTACTGTGCCATGTTTGTTGTATTTTATTCTAAATTTCAAGTCATATCATTAAAATTGACATACTGGTAACAGCTCTAAATACTCTCTGGTAACTTCATATACTATGAGACAAACTATGTTCCTAAGATTATGACCATCACAGCTTCTATAAAGATTTAGTCATATGTATATATTTAAGAGGGTGAATGCAACATATTTATTCTATCTTTGACATAGTTGTGACAATAAATTTCACTTTTAGTTAATGCAACATGAATAGGGAAGTTGGAAATTTTCCCTTTTATATTTAAGATTTTTCAGTGTAAGAATTACGCATCCATCATAAAAACCTTCCCTCTAGAAAAGCTGGTTTCTATGTCAATCTTTGTTCTACAAGATCTAGCATTTCATTGACCAAAATTTCAAAGGACAATACCAGGGTGTGCCAGTTGTACTTGAGAGTCCTGTATTTGTTCAGATTAAAGGAGAATTCACAATGTAGATCATTTTTGACTACTTTGTTTATAATGAAATTGTGATCCAGAGAGTTGAGAATTGATCAAAAGGGCAACTCAGTATCCATGAAGGGGCTCTGGGCAAACGTTTGGATTTAGATATGGACCATCTTACCAAGAATAAAATTTTTTGAAAGATTTACATTTAAGAATGAAGGTTTTAGGAAAGTTATTATTAAAAAATATTGTACATGAAGAAGTTTAAAAATAGTGAAATGACCTTGGAGCATCTCTTTCTCTATGGGTCATTTATAAGATAAAGTTTAGCCTTCTAAGATATGGACCAAAAGCTTCACTTTCTTCTAGCTTCTTCATTCTGCTCAAGAAACCAAACTAACATTGAGATTGCATTTATATGTTCACATTAATGTGTGACTGCATTTTAACAATAAAATGTTTAATTATTATTTGACCATTTAAACATTTTTAATTTTTTCTTCATAAATATTTGAAAGTAGAAACTAGGAAGTAATAATTTGGGATGTTAAGGTACATATTGACAAAAGAGGCATGGAAAAATAAAAACACATACTATATTTCTGAATATGAATATAATGGAGAAAATTGACCTCTTAATCAATATCAGATAGGTCTTCTTTTTTAATTATTTAAATCCTCTTTCCATTTTTATATTAGATGCATGCACTTTTTATTGATTTTTATTATTATAATTATTTGAGCTGGAGTCTTGCTCTGTTGCCTAGGCTGGAGTGCAGTGACACCATGTCAGCTCATTGCAGCCCTCACCTCCCAGGTTCAAGAGATTCTTCTGCTTCAGCCTGCTGAGTAGCTGGGATTATAGGCACACACCACCATGCCAGGCTAATTTTTGTATTTTTAGCAGAGACAGAGTTTCACCATGTTGGCCAGGCTGGTCTCGAACTCCTGGCATCAAGTGATTCACCCGACTTGGACTTCAAAGAGCTAGGATTACAGGTGTGAAATACTGCACCTGGCCAGATGCATGCACTTTATATTCTAATCATTTCTAAGTAGAAATTTGAAGAATGTCTTTGTAGACTATGCCCATTCTTAATTCCAAGCCTTCTTCATAGATCTGCGACCAAAATAAGGGTAAATGATACCCAGGGATCTAAGAAAATTTTTTAGAACAAGAGAAAATATTTTCCTTTTGTATTTGCTCTGAAAACAAATCACAAATGTCTTATTTACATTTATAGGAGGATAAGTTGGCTAATTGGATGTGTTGACAGAGCAAAACTGCCCAGATTTAAAGTTTTAGATCATGCAATTAAAGTAATTTTCAAACATTAAAAATGACAGCAAGTCCTTCCATTTCTGACACCACATAATGGCAAAATTAGACAAATTATTCCCTATCTACATAGCTTACTGTAGTACAGTAATAATGTCTAAAGTTTTATGAATAAGAAATGTTTGTGTTATCATTTATAATGATTACATTTTTCACTAGTTAATTCATTTGTAACTAATATTTATTGAGCAAGTAACTTATGTCCAATCCTCTGCTAATACTGAAGTCACAATGGTGAAGAAAATGGAAAAAAAAAAAACCAAAACCCTCCACCAAATAAAAAAGATAAGGAGTGTTCCTTCACAGAGATGAAAATCTACAGAAGGAAGCTAGCATTAATCAGATCATATCAATCACTCTACATTCATGTGTGATAAACACCATATACTAGAAGTGACTTTTTCAAAATGTTTGGCAGATCCTGAGGGGATCAGTTTGTTAAGAAAAAACTGTTTTAGCTGGGAAATAAAAGGCAAGTAGTAGTGAGCTATGTAAAGGTAACAGGGAAAGAGAAAAAACTAGATTCCCTATAAGGCAAGAGCATTCACAGAGAAACTATGTGAAGAAGAATTGTAATTGACAGATGCAGTGCAGCCATGTTGCTGAAAAGGCTAGGATGAAATGAAGAGTAGTAGACAAGTGAAAGTGAAGAATGTGAAGCTGGATGATAGCCATACTCAAGACAGAAGTCACAAATGTCATTAAGATCAGCTGCATAATTTGTGGGTCCCAGTGCAAAATGAAAATGTGGGGTATATTTTCGAAAAAGAGAAAAAAGTGTCATTAAAGGTACTAAATATAAAAGTTTTTACTTCAAAATAATTTATTACTTATACAATAAAATCAGAGTAACACAGATGAGTCATGACATACACTTACAAATTACAAAATAGATGATTTTGGTGTCATAATTTTATATGATATAATAAATAATATTTTATTAATGTTATATCTTGCTTGATTTTATAATTTTCTCATTTAATTTTCTGGTAACTTATTTACTAGATCAACAGAATTTATATATTATTAGCAACTTCATATTCAATTAATATATATTCAGTGACATCAGTCACTCCTGGCAAATACAAGATCACAAATACTTTTTGAAAAGTTTTTATTTTGCAAACTATCTTACTGCTGATGCAATTTTGTGAAACCATTAAGACTGTTTCATAGACTGTAGAAATATGCATGTTTCTGATGAATTACACTGAAATATAAATTTTAGAACATCTAGAGCTGATGATTCCTTTCACCAATTTTTTCAAAAAAAATTTAACTCTTTATTCAAATCCGTTTTGTGAGAGCCTGATACTAGTTTTAAATATAAATGTATGCAATGGAATCTTAATGTTTCCTCTGACATATGCTATAATTTGTGGAGGTTGTACAATAAATTGAAAGGGACTTCATGATTGTCATATAATTCAAAATGCCTGTTTTTGCATTCCATTTTTGTATATTCAATTACAAAGAAAATCTCATCAATAATTGGTTTCCCCAAAGCTTCATATAAAAATAATGTTCTTATCATTGACTGGAATAATCTTTAAGTTCAATTTCTATTTCTAAGCCTGTGGATTTCATGCAATGTCCATGTGTATGCCTTCGGTTTGCAATAATTTATTGACAAAGTTTATTGTCTGAGTACTAACATTTTCTGTTCTGGGGCTCAGGCTGGAAAGTTAATATTTTTGGAAATCCCACAGAGAAAGCCTCCAGGGATGTATGGACAAGCTGGCCTCCCACCTTGGATCCTCTCATTGACCCTTTTTAAAGTCTCCTCCTGCAGCCTTTGCTGCCACCCACTGCTGTTTCTATGGGGGCTACCACCATCCTCTGCAACTATCTAAGAGGTCCAGGTTCTGATGTACCCACACCCTCAGGACTGCAGGAATATGACTACACAGGCATGCGTGTGCACACCTGCACACTGCACATCACACCAACTGCTATGCATACATGCTGACTGCTGCATCCTCAGGCCTGAACCTGTGTGTTCATGAGCTGCTGCTGCTACATATGCTACCACACATGCATGTGGTTATGGTGAAGCAGCAGCAGGAGCAGCTCATGCACACACAGGCTATAAATACATTCTTAATCATTTTATCTCTCAATTTGTGTTCTGTACATACTTACAAAACATAAATTGACATGTAAAATAATTAAGAATTTCAAGACAGTCACAGCAGAACATTAACCCAAACCTGGGGCTTCCCTCAGCATCGGGCTCTGTGTGACTGGATTGTATGTCCATGAAACCAGCTCTGGATGTTATGCTAAGAAATGTATTCTTGCATAGAAGTAGAGAGTAGCATGGTGGTTATTATAGGCTGGTGAGAGGGAGGGATGGGGAATGAGGAGATGTTGTTCATAGGGTACAAAGTTTCAGTTAGACAGGAGGAATAAATTTTAGAGACCTACAGCACACCATGGTGACTATAGTTAATGTAAGACATATTTGATAATATCTCAATGAGGATTTCAATTGTTCTTATCACAAAAAAATGATAGGATGTGAAGTGATGGCTGTGTTAACTAGCTTGATTTAATCATTACACAATGTATACATATATCAAAATATCACATTGTATCCCACAAATATATATAACTATTATCCATCAATTAAACACTTTAGAAATGCATTTCTTGCTGGAAAAATTGGAAACATTGAAAGTACAAAGCAAAGGAATGATATGATGACATGCCATTATCTGCAGTGTGAAAAATGAACTGTATTTAAAAAGAAGTAGCTTTACATAAGCAGGCTTATTATCCAGAAAAAGGGGATGCATAGTTTCTCCCGGAAGTAGCCTCCTGTGTGGGTGAAGAGGTGCTTGGACAAGAACATTTTTAATTGATGTAACCTCTCTGCACATCACAGGCAGACCTGTTCTCATCCTGTGCAGCTGGCTATCTAATAGCCATAATG